AAAAAAAAAAAAAAAAAAAAAACAATAGGAAACTAATAGGACAATTTCATGGCCACTAGGATTATCAAAGTTTATCAAGAACACTGGTTCAGACATTAACAGCCCAATCCAACCACGATTGTATATTCTGTGCAAATAATTTGATCAAATAGGTGTAGCTGAGTACAGTACACTAAGCTATTTTCAAAGAGCTAGTATAATGTGGTTGGATACCACACCTTTCCATCCTGATCATTCAAAGTAGCTAACAGAAAAATCCACAAACATACATGATGAATATATAATCAGTCACATATATACAGTAATTAGGCCTGAGTTTTGATTCTTAGTAGCCTACATTTTTGGTGATGAAAATGGAAGATGTGACAGAATGTTAGTTTACAAATATACAGGAGGCAGTAAAGACTAGTATTGACCAGAGGGCTAAAATCTTTTTGGTTCATGGGCAAATAGATGCTCTGAGAGTATGTTTGGACAAAGAAAATGCCTGTGATAAGTGGCATGCCCATTCACAAAATGGCTACCAGAGTGTAGCCAAAGGCAAAACTGTTTACTAAAAGGTGACTGCTATGGCTACTCTCAGCATCTGTCGAGTTCGGTAAGGTTCTTATATTATTTTTATGGGCAGGTGAACAGATTTAGAAATGACAAAAGCATTGGGCTGCTCTGAGTCACCATTTTTATTTTCTAAGAACATCTATAGAGCTTACATGGAATCCAAGAGTATTCTTGGGAATCAATGTGATTCTGAAGGCTGGTGCTTTCCTATGCAGTTTACCAGCATTTTTCCAATTGTGTTTAAAACTAAAATCTTTTAGCTGTGGACACATTGATGCCCATAGTACCATCACATGGGGGATACCAAGTATACACTGTACAAGTAAGTTGCTGTGTGATGTGTAAAATAGCCCAAATCTCCAGAAGAGAAGAAACAAATGGCTCCAGTCTCCTCAAATGAAATATGAAGCCTGATCAACTGAAAGACTGCCTTCTCTTACCCTAGCACTGGGAGACATCATGGGGGAGATATTACTGTTTTTGGGGAGAGGGCAAGGGTCTGTATTTATATTCAGAGCTCAGCGTCACCAGCATCAGAGGTCTTCTCCATCTTGTCTTGTCTGATGCTCTGTTGTTCTGAGATTACTAAGAGGAGAGTTTTACCTTGAGAATGGTAAAAACCCTGATAAAGTAGAGGATCTCTTCCTATGGGCTGTTTGAAGTGGCATGTAATTATAACCATTTTTCTATCTTTTCCTGTTTGGTGAGTATAAGGAATCTTTTTCATTACCATTAATTTGTCATATGCTTATTTAAATTTGATATGCTTTAAATGAATTGAAACTGAGCTAATGTGATAGGATATCTAATATAGATTGATGTCTGGAGGTTGAGTCATGGCAACTGGACTTCTTTTCTTTTTGGTTAGAGACCTTTCGTTATTTGTCCAAGCAGCTTCTTCAGTCTGAAAAAGTTGGTTAGGAGGACCCCATAAAAATTTCCAGGGTGGCTGTGTTTCTTACTAGCATGATAGGCTTGTTGAAGGGACAATAGGAGATGTGATTAGTAGAGTCTTTGAGATGTAGATGTATTACTCCTAATCCCTCACTCATCCCAGGGGGATGTTAAGTGTTGCCTTCCTGGTGAACTTTTGAACTGTTCTTAATCTTCGTGAGGACTGTTGAAAGGGCAGCCTGGAAAATGCGAGACAAGTTGTGTCTGAGGCCTCCACTTCTATTGAGGGAAGGATTTTCCACTTAGGCATAAATGGATTCCTTCACTCCTCCTCAGAGAGAAGTCCAGTTGCCAAAGAAAAGAAGTCCAGTTGCCATGACTCAACCTCCAGACAATTCCACCTGGATAAATGAGAATCTTCATAAACAATATAGATTGATGTCTCTAGCTGAATGGTCTATTGTGTAAACATAGATAGTTGAAATATTTATTTAGAAATACAATATATAAATAAATTGATTATGACATGTCACAGGCATGAGGCCAAATCCCTTACTATCCAATCATATTCATGTCAGTAAGTAAGCCCCATTATTTTACTGTGACCCCCTTCATTTTACATTATTTCAGTGATATGAGATGTTTCTTTTTTTCAAAAATATTCACAAAAGATGGGAAATGGGTGGGATTTGTTACTGAACAAGTACACAGCTGGATCTTTAAAATATTCTCTAGACTACTACAAACCCTATTTATACCTATGATTTTTAAAAATGAATAATTCATCTTAAATACCTTTGGTTTCCTTTGCACGATGAACATGTCAACAGAATCCCTCCAGCTATGGAAAGAAGGGAACCAGCCCAACCTAGATACAGTGCATATCCCAGTTCATACCTAGAATAAAGATCATATATATCATATTCAATCAAACATCATATACAATCAAATGCTTTCTTCTCATACATTAAAGTTACTAGCATAAGACAAAGGTGGTATTGGGGAAAGGAAAGCTCAAAGAACTCCAAGCTATTGATACATGGAAATGGAAGAATTGAAGGGGCTTCCTGAATAATTGGGATTAATGAAGATGAGTGGGATAATCAAAATAGGGTTGTATTGTTATGCTCCATCTGTATTTCAAATATCAAGAATGAAGAAAGATGAAGGTGAGCTCTTGTTTCCCATGCACTCCAATATGCCCAAGAGACAGACACCAAATATTGAGAAAACAAAAACCAGTAAGTTATTGAACCAATAATACTTCCTTCCTCAACCTGGGTACCTTCCAGATTTGTAAACTTCAACTCCCAGAATTCTCAACAGTGATCACGCTGAGGAAGATTGCAACAATGCACTACAGCATTGTTGCTAATTGGGTTAATCTTTGTGAACAGACAAAACAAGAAGCCTAACATAAGTTTAATTTCAAACTCATTACAATAGATGTGAATTAGCACCCACAGACCATACAATGTTATCCTCTGTGCATTTTGATAATGCTAAAACTCTTTATTAACTGCAATTACCAAACTGAACTAAAATACATAAATATATTAACTTACTTTGTTCCAGCATATAAAGGATCAAAAAACTCGGCTGTGATATTTGCTGCATACCATGAAAGAGCAACCATTGATGAGAGACCTGGCCAAACAACACAGATTAGTGGATGAGTATGTGTTAGGGCCAGGCAAATCATTTGATAAGGCGTTCTACCTGCAAACAAAGCACCCTCTGGATCTCTTCCTTGAAACTACAAAGCTAACCCAGATGCTTAAAGATTGGAAGAAGCTGCTTCAAGGCTCACCCAAGGTCTTTTTGTCATGCTTGGAAGATATTTCCTTAGAGGGGACCTAGAAGAGGATTTCATTTACAAGCACCTTGTGTGATTTGTACAGATTAGTATGCATATATAATCAAGTTGTCACATGGTTAACAAAATTATAACATCTGAGGAAAGCTGAGTCATATGGATTTAGTGGAGTTTTTGATTCAATTTCTATAATTTTACATGAAAAAACTAATTTTAACAGGAAGTGTGTGTGTGTGTGTGTATTCCATTAAAGACTATGCATGTGACCTAGCAGCCTTCATTTTAGAACAGAGAAAGCTTGGATCTCTTTTGTCTGAAGTAAAGTGCAGAATACAGCTTGAGGCAGATACACGCTGAATACAATGAGCGGGCTTTTCAGCAATGGCTGAGACCAGTAACTTGTTTTCAGTCCTAGAAATGATCTCACGCTCCTACACAACAATGTGTTTCTAATTCCCCACCAAACAACAACAAACTTTTATTGTGGCCATTCAAATTCAGCAGAATTACAGACAAAAGGAAACAATCTATCCTCTTAATGTATACTCTAACAGCTACCAGTATATACAGATTAGTCATCCTGTCCCATAATCATGACTTTCTGACAGCATCTCCTTGATGGTTAGTAGCAGAATATGGCACCTGGATAGGTAACTTTGAGACCTGTGTCTGCTGTAAAGTAAATTATGTAAAACTTCTCTTTTCTGAGCAGGCAAGATTTTAAAAAGTGGCTGAAGCAGCCTTTGCCTCAGGGTGGAATAAAATACATAGCACAGAAAAATAAGTTATGTAGATTTAATGTTGTCTGAACCACCTGGGTATAACAACCTCTCTGATAATGGAATTTTGCTGAATCTGCCCTCCAAGAGAAGTCCCATTAATAGTTATAACAGGTAAAAGAAGAGAGAAATTTTGCTGGAATAAGCCTTTGAATTTCCCTAAATGTTCAATGGATTTTTATGGTTTAAAGTCAGATTATTTTGAAGCTCAATATTCTGATCTCTAGCCTAATCATTTTTATCCAGAACAGGTATTAGCAAAAACTGCAAGAACACAATTTACTTTAATGTTCACTCACTGTTTAGATCTGTCATTGTTCCTTGGGATTAGGGAAAGCAGCCCTGTAGCGAATAGAATTGGTTGCCATTCTCTGGCCTCTGTTCTAGGCAGTCCTGCCACCAATTGCAGGGCTGCATTTCACGAGTATCTTGGGTCAGAAAAAGGGTTTGTAGAAAGTTGAATTGCACTTTCTCACAGGAAGCAAAGCTGAAACCAAGTCCCAGGGAAGCCTCATATAACAACTGAAGGTTTTGCACTAAATAATTATTTGCAGCTGGGACAAAGTATCCCGCCATCTCCCTGAAGTCTTAAAATAACAGCCTCATTCTTCTGGCTCATGAAGGAGACCTAACTGGCTTGTGTCTTGCTGCTTCTGGAGGAGTGGAATGCTAAACCATGGTATGTCAAGCATTTGAACTGCTCAGTTGTTTGATTACCTGTGTGCTAATTATGGGTTTTGGTGCTGTTAGTTATACTGTTACTATAACTTCCATTCTCTGATGGTTTATTATCAATAACTGCTTGTTACACTTCTGGATCAGAGCGCTGAGCAATCTTCTGAGACCAAGCTGGGTGAGCAAGAAAACTGCAGTGTTGTCTGAATAAAGTAGGATTGATAGAATTGGAAAAATACCTTTTCCCCCTCCCCCAAACTGTATTCATTCCAACAGCCTAAATTAGGTGGGAAAATGCATGATTTTAGGTAACAGAGACCCTTGCTGATCTACTTACTGTGTTATGGGGTTAATTTTCCGGTTGGTTGTATTCTCTTTTCATTGATACATGTTGTTTTCTTTTACATTCTTTTTTAATTGTAAGCTGCCCAGAGTTGTTGTGGAGTCAGGCAGCCTCAAAATTGAAATATTAAATTAAAATTAATTAAATTATCCCACAGTGAGATGGGCGGTGACAAATTTGAAATATAAGTAAAAAATAAATAAAAATCACCCAGAAAAAAAAGGAGAATCTGAAAAGAATAGACAGAAACAGGATCTACTGATACTGACTTCTGCAAGTTAGTGCCCTCCATGTGTTGGATTATAACTCCTGTCATTGTGGCCCAATATATCTGAAAGGCATGATGTTGGGAAAGGCTAGTAGGAGACTCTACTTACTGCTCATTCTACTCTTAAAAAGTATTTCTTCTTTTCATACAAATAGAAAGACACCAGTAACTTGGGACTTTTATTCTTTTTTCATTTTGTATCACTTTTAAATGTATGTATCCCCTCTTCAGTGCTATTTCCAGAGAGTTAATGTAGCTTACCCTAGAAATGAAAACTAGTAAAAGCGGCAAATAAATTTAGTGTATTAATTACAAAAAAAATTAATATGCCTGCTCTGTTAATCAGAGGGGGACAATTAAAATGTTTTAAAAATCTAGCCAATTAATTAAACATGGTTAAACATATAAACACTGTGTGATAATAACTCAGATCCAGATTACATTCTAGGAGAACAATACGTTTATTGTTTTCTAAACCACTCTAAGTAAACTTTTCAATTAATCTAGTTTCATGCTTTTTAGTTTTTCAACTCACCCCTGTCCCTTACTTGATACAAATCACAAGATCTCCTAAGGATCCAGGCAAGAATAAATCACCATATATGTATATAGCTTTAAGAAACTTTTCTTGCATAAATGTCCATTACATGATTTCTCACCTGCTAAAACAAATATCATTCCACTCATTATGGAAAGTCTTGCTTTTCTTTCATCACTGGAACCAAGCTCAGTGCATTTCAAACCAAGCAATGCTAGCAGAGTCCCGCCCATACCCAAGACAAGGGACGTAATCATCAGGGCTCGGCATGCTTGAATAAAAGCTGCAGGAGAGAAAAATTGACCAAAGGTGTTGATTTTAGTACAGAGCAAATGACAGGTCTTGCCTTTGATTTATCCATTAATCAAAACTTGACTGGAAGCAAAGATGGGAAGACTCCATATTTCTTAGAAATCTGATTTGAGGGAGGATAGTATTCAGAATGCCATTATGGTTTTTTAATGTTCAGGCATCTCTTGTTGTCAGAACTATCTATTATGATGCTTCAAATGACCTTCTGTGTATTCAACTACTCCTGTGGCTGTGTGGAAGATGCATAAATAAAACATTGAGAGAGAAAAATAATGTACTTGGGGAATGTGCAACTTTTTCCTCAAGGAGATCCCCAGCCTGAGTCATTTAGGTAGGAATATAATATCGTTTTTCCCTTGCTTTAGGAAGGGATCACTGAATTTATCATGAGACTTTTCACTATCCCCTATTCTCATCTCACAATTTGCTTGTCTAGCAACCAGTACACTTCGACTGAAGAAAGCAGCAAAGATGGGAACAGTTAAAAGACCTGGAAGGAAGCAAAGGGTTAAGAGAGAATGTGGACATTCAAAAGCAACACCAGCAAAATTATTCCATACACCAACCTTCTCATTATTTGGTGGCCTTTTTACCAGAGTGATTTAATTTTTGAAGTTATACTTCTTTCTCCTACCGGCTTTTCAAAGTCTTACCTGCTTTTCAACGTTTCTGTGGCAGTTAACAAATTAACTGGAAGTTCTATTTGGTTACATTAATAACAGGAGGAGGATAAAAAATAGAATTGCTTTTATGATAAAAAAAATGTTGCGGGATATTGCCCTTTGATTGTAATGTTTCATAAAGTAATTTGTTAAACTACTATGCCATTAATAGCAGTTGGAACACAATTATTAATTTAATGACAAGGACAAGTAACAAAGAAATCAGCATAAGTCACAAGATTTTTCTTTATATAACAGTCTCATTATTAGGTGATAATCTAATATTATCAGTCTCTGCTTTAATGAGCTAGTAATTCCCTAAGGTCTACTGAGCTGTGGAGGTTTTGTTTTTCAGACATCAACTTACTTGGCAGAAATGGCAGGAATCAAAGTTAATTTGATTTGAAATAGGAAGCTGTCTTAAACAAGTCAGGCAGGCTATCCAAGCCAGTATTGTCTGTTCTCTTCTGATATCAGATCTCCAAATCCCAGTCCTTTTTCACTTCCTTCCAAAAACTGAACCTGGCTGAGACTTTCTGCATGTAAAACATGTACTATACCAAAGATCTATAATCTCCTTTGCGCTCCACTCCTTTGAACTGCAGAAAACACAAGGTTATCTCTATCGCTCAGATAAAATGTAACCAAAGTGCCATAAATACACAATGAAAAGGGAAACTGATAGTTCAGTTGGTCTCACCTGCTGACTTATGGAGCATCCTCTGTCCTGATCTGGGGTTGTTCACAGGCTGATCCTGAAAAAGCAGAACCCACTCAAAGGGGTTTGCTCAGTGAACATTAACTGAGATCCTGTTTCGTCTAGTGGTTAAGGCACCAGGCTAGAAAGCAGGAGACTGTGAGTTCTAGTTTCACCTGAGGCATGAAAGCTGGCTGGATGACTTTGGGCCAGTCGCTTGGTGACTTTGAGCCAGCCACTCTCTCTCAGCCCAATTCACCTCA